GATTTGGGGGGACTCTTGGGAAAAAATGTTGGGAACCCGTGTTATAGTCACAACATTTAATCTATTGATTCGTGTTCACCAACACGATTTTCACCTTTTTTTTTCGTGTCACACAGAACGATTTTAAAAGCAATGTATTTCTATTGGTAGTATGTTTCGTGCCTGCACCACGTCTTTTTGTCCGGTCGGGTCTTGGAAGACTGGAAGCTGTGTGGTTCATAAAAACCTTTTCTTACTCAATATCAAGCCACGATTATTGTTTTTATTTATTTTTTATTCTTTTCTAAATAACACACTATTATTTACTCAACAATAACAAACAATTATCCTTGTTTTTATTTATTTGTTTAATTCTATAATCTCTGGCTTTTTGGCGTCCGTCAGGAACTGAATTTCAAAATAAAGTCACCGGAAACAGACGTAGGCCTATAAGGGACATTTTGAACATCATTGCGATACACACATACTGTAGAGTGGCGAAGTCACGCCCATCTACTTCCGCCCCATGGGACCTTATTTCTGAAAAATTATGTATTGAAGTCAATGGGGAGAGAAAGATTCTCTTTCGATCCCGTTTGAATTGTGCCACGAATTACACATATGATGTTTGTCAATCTTAAAAAATCATTTCCATGTCAAAAAAGTCACAGTTTGTCTTAAAACAGTTGAAATATAAGACTATGACAAATACGCAACTAGAAAGACTACAAATCCCAGAGTCGCGTAAGTGAATTTAGCTAGCTGACATTAACGTTACACATTACACTCGTGTTACTCTCCGAAACCTTGTAAAGCCGGTCCCGCNGGACTCCCTGCAGCTTCTACTGAAGCCTTCCGAGTAAACGGCCAGAACGCCGACACCTCCTCATCTCCACTGCTCCCATGTTTTATTTTGTGTTGTCATAAGTTAGTCTCTCTGCGTTTCTGCGCTGGGCTAATGCTAATGCTAATGCTAATAATAAAATGGCGGCTTCACAAAAGTTTTTGGGAGTTTGACGGGGCGTGGTTTGCATTCCGCCCAGCCAATCAGACACAGGAACCTTTTTCTCCCGCGAAAGTCCCTGCTCTCTAAAAGGGACGGAAAAGGGGGTAAAAAAGGTTCTCTAGAACTAATTTAGTTCCTGGGACCTTTTGGTGTGAACGCAACTAAATCGTAGTTCTCAGGAACCTTTGTGGGAAAAGTACTTGGTGTGAACGCGCCTAATGGAATAAAACATGTTCTGTGTGCACATCATATCTGTATGCACTTGTATATCTAAGCTATTGGCATGATGTTTAAAGGCTGTGACTACATTTACAAGTGTAATAGCAAAGCGTTTCTAGGTCAGGACGCTGAGTCTTTACCTGCTCGGCTGCATTAGAATAGGAATCCCAGTATAAACTATATTGACGCTCATGATTGATTTCAGTAGCTGTTACTGGGTCAGCCAACAGGACGCACGTCAAGGCCAGCGGATAATGAATCACACCGGTCACACATTAACATATTTTACCATTCCCAGTTAACTGTTTACTCACAGTGGTTCATCGTAAAAGAAAATGATTTATCATAAATGTTTTAGTATGTATCGCTTCATAGTGCAAAATGTAGACTTCTGATTTATGCCAGCTCGCACCACTGTTGATCAGCTCATCACTTTTTCATGAGATTATCTGGTTATTTTACAAGGTTTTCTAACGCAATGAAATAAAGATTGTAATGGGGAGTTTTTGCCAAGCATCAATAATTCAAGTTCTTTGGACGAGAAAGATGTCCATGTGTTTTGCACACTGATTTTTTAGATACAGATGATGTTACGAATGCTTGTCTGATTTTCTTAAGATATCCGTATTTCAGGGTTTAAGCAGTAAATGTGCTGTTCATTGTGTTTTGATATAATGTTGAGTATAATGCTTGAATACTAGTGACACTTACCAAGGGAATTGTCAAGCTAAATAGAAAAGTCAAAAGCACCAGCCTTGAACGAATGAATAACAAGATCATTGACATGTATTCCCCGTGTTTGCAAAAAGTTGCTGTGTTACAACCCAATATTCACTCTCCACTAACTCCCAAGAAAATGTGTTTATGCTGCAAACCTTTCTTTCTGCTTTCAGGTAGCGTACTATGGGTTAATTAGAGTTTGTTGTTGGCTATAAAAGCAAAACAAAAATGAGCTGAAACACTAAACTGCTTAATGGAAATGACAGAAATTGTAGAATCACAAACAGGATGTTGGTTAAAAACAATCAGAGCATAACATGTCGGTTGCATGCCCGAGTAAAAGAGGGGACATGTTAAAGTATGATTTGTAAAAAACCTGAAGTAAAATTAGGCTTGAACAATTATTTACATTTTTTAAGGTTATTCTTACATTAATTTGCTCCAGAGCTAAAAACGAACCTCGATCTGGATGTATTTCTAAACCATAACAGCTGAGGATCATGGGTACTGTACCAAACCAAATCCAACCAAATGAGTAGAACGTGACTTATAAGAAACATTTACACAGATGACTGAGGTGTTTCAGTTCAGAAGAATCACTATAAACACAACCTTAACCCTCAATCTGACCGATTTACTACTTTCATCAATCATAACTTTTTTGTTTTACATTTGATTGCATTAAGGCTTTATGATATCCTTCACAGTAGACATTTGAACATATAAACTTGCTGATCACCACTTTCATTGAATTTTGGATGATTTATTCAACTTTGTAACAACCATGGTGTTCCCAGTAACCATCCGGATCGGATCGGATCTCACACACACACACACACACACACACACACACACACACACACACACACAAACACACACA